ATCTATCTATCTATCTATCTATCTATCTATCTATCTATCTATCTATCTATCTATCCATCTATCTATCTATCTATCTATCTATCCATCTACAAAAGGAACTCATAGTCTGGCAGAAGTATAAACATCCCTCCAGTTCTAGACACACCAAAGGTACCTACGTGTTGCACACAGCAGTCCAGCAAACTCTCCAGCCGTTTCGCCAACTGTGGGAACGTGGGTCGCTCGGACGGCTTATGCTTCCAGGTATCGTGCATAATCTCACACCTAGAATACACCCAACACAATTCCTCTTTTACACCATATATCGTGCATAATCTCACACCGAGAATATGCCCAACACAATTCCTCTTTTACACCATACATCGTGCATTATCTCACACCTGGAATCATCCAACACATTTCCTCTATAAAACTTTTTGTCTTTACACTATACGCTAGGCGGGGTTACAATTTGCTTTTACACATTCTTTGTCAAACAATACATTAATTGTGAATCGGAGGAAAGGGAATGCATATTATTATTATTATTGTGCCTCTGGTGATATTTAATTTGAATAGGCTGTGTCATTGGATGGATGGATGGATGGGTGGATAGATGGATGGATGGATGGATGGATGGATGGATGGATGGATGGATGGATGGATGGATGAATAATAGGTGGGATGTTAGGTGGGTGAATAGGGAGATGCCCAGATAGATGAATGAATAGATGGATGGATGAACAGATGGACAAAGGGATGGTTAGGTGGGTTGATACAGGGACGGGTGGTAAGGTGAGGGAATAAATGAATGCAAGGATAGACGGTTAAATAGATGGATGAAAGGGTGGATAGATGGGTGGATGGACTGAAGTTACAAATGTACTAACTTTCTTTGCAATGCGGACTGAAACAGTGAGTACTTACATTTCATAAGGGGCCAGCCGGGGTGAGTCGAGTCGTTTTCCGTTCCTTAAGTAGGCCACGATATGAGTTGGGTCTACGCCGGGGTATGGGTCTTCGCCTTGATAGACAGAGGGAAAATGAAAGACGGATTGAACGTATTGTTTGGAAAAAAATGAGAATACGTTGACAGGCTTGTAATCACGTCTTTTCCCGACCTGTGAGGATCAGTTATGCCTTCAGGAGGGGGTGGGATGAGGGTTTATAAGAGACGTCGCTTCCTTCCTCCTCCTCTTCCTCCTCCTCTTCCTCCTCCTCTTCCTCCTCCTCCTCATGTTCCTCGTCCACCTGCTCCTCTTACTCTTCCCCCTCCTCCTCCTTCTCCTCCTCCTCCTCATCATCATCATCACTACCACTCCACCATCACCATCACCACCTCCACCAAAACCACCGCCATCATCATCATCATCATCATCATCACCATCATCATCATCATCATCTAGCATGCAGAATGTGTAACGGCAGCTCGCAGCC